AATCCTCCAGACAACTACGGGAGTCACTGAGGATCAAAGTCTTACGAAAATGGGATTGGTTAGAATCTTAACTGAAGAATACTTAACTGTTTCTAAAATGGCTAATGATTCACCTGTAAAAATTGAACATTCTGAAGGACATTTAAAACTCAAAACTACACTGTACTTTGGTATATAAACGGACGCACCAATAAGGGACGAGTCTGATTTTGATGCATCTGTGAATATCAGAACCCAGTTCGCCCATTCATTCCTCACAAGCATGTTAAATTTCCGGTTAGCATCTAAGGTATTCTTGTCGATGCCAAAGTTTAAAATAATATTAGGATTAAAAATTAAAGCATCATAACTGCTTGTAAAAAGGGGGTGGTTTTCTAAGCAGAGAACTGAGAAATGAGAGGAATTATATCTAATATAACTATTTACTAACAAAGGATGGGATTTGTTTGACCAATAAGGCGACGAGTTAATGAAGCGAGAAAGGAGTCTTAAGGGTTTTAAAATGGCATGAGAGGGGAACTGAACAGCTTTGGAGAAAAATCTATCAGCAAGAAACTGTCTACAGAAGTTTAAAGGAGGTTCCACGCAGTCCACTTGGAGGGCATTAATAGCAGAAGATTTCATAGCCCAAGTAATTATACGCAGCATTGTCAAGTTTACCAAGAGCCAGCATACTGCAAGGCTCCAAAATGAAACAGCCGTAATCAAAGTGGCTACGAGTAATCGCATTGTAGAGAATTTTTTGGACGAAAGGATGAGAGCCCCAACGAACTCCCGATAAGGCTCTGAGGACATTGGTGTTTTTCTCACACTTAGAATATATATACTGTAAATGAGGAATACCAGTCAGAGGAATAACAGTCATGTTGGAATCAAGGATGACTCCCAAAAACTTTGCCTGGCTCTTAAATAAAATTGGTTCACCATCTACAGATAAATGTAAGAGGGGAATATTCCGTTTTCGACTAAAAATAACTGCATAGGATTTAGGAATAGACAGACTTAGACCGTGATTTTGAAGCCAATCATTTAGATAACCTAAGGCGGTAGTTACTTGAGAACATCCATTAAACAGGGATGAGCAAGTTGTATACAAGGCTATATCATCTGCATATTGTAGGATTTTGCAGAAGCTGTAGACAGATAAGTCAAGATCAGCAGTATAGAGATTGTATAGGAGGGGACTTAGGACTGAGCCTTGAGGGAGACCCTTCCAAACGAGACGGGAAGAAAGAAGAGAGCCCTGGTAGCGGGCACGGATAGAACGACATGTAAGTAAATTAAAGATAATGTTAATCAGCCTCATAGGGATATTCAGTGTGAGCATTTTCTGCCGAGATGTCAAGGAAGGCCCCAATAACATGCTTATTATAAGAAAATGCAAGTCTTATATCAGAAGATAGGATGCCAAGACTATCCATAGTGCTCATACCACGTCTGAAACCAAATTGATTGTTTGAGAGCAGACCTCTATTCTCAAGGATCCACTCTAATCTATTTTTAATAAGATGCTCTACGATTTTGGCCATAACAGATGATAAGGCAATAGGCCGATATGATGATGAGTCACTAGGGTCTTTATTAGGTTTTAAAACTGGAATAATAATTTGAGTCTTCCATGACTCTGGAATGCATCCAGAAGAAAAAATTTCGTTTATAACATTAAGGAAAAATAATTTTGACGAACTTGAAGATTTTATTATAAAAGAATAAGATATACCGTCAACGCCTGGAGAAGAATCTCGAAGATTATCAAGGGCACAGCAGAACTCAGAATAGGAAAAAGGGTGATCCATTCTTCCGAATGCAGGACAAAGAGAAGGAGGGAGGGGAAAGCAATCATGAGAAGGAACAAATGGAGGAGCTAACTTTTCGATAAAATCGCTTGGCCAAACGGCAGAATCACTGGGACAGATGTTTTGGTCAGCGAAAACACCACAAAAATGTGAAATTTTGCGCCATACTACAGTCATAGAGGAACGGGGGGATAACGATTCGCAAAATCTAAGCCACCCCTGAGACTTCTTTCTTGCCAAAATTCTTTTTGTTTTGGCACAGACCTTGCGAAAGAGAAGAAAGTTCTCCATACTCAAATCTTCCGCATAAGCCTTCTCAGCTTGATTTCTAAGTCGCACGGAAGTAGAACACTCCGAATCCCACCATGGGGGAGAGGGGATACGACCACAGGAAGCGGTTTTGAGGGGTATGGAATCTTCTGCTGCTGTAATGATACAAGCAACATAATAATTGTATAAAGATAGGAAGTTAGCAGGATTGGCAGGAGGAAAGAGGCTAATTTTGGAGTCTAAAGATTCAGAATACTTATCCCAGTCAGCGTCTGAGAGTCTAAAACGTTGCAAAGGTGGAATCTTAGGAGTGGGAGGAGAAAATTGTAGGAGTCTTATTAATATAGGAAAATGATCACTGCCATATGAGTTATGAAGTACTGTCCAAGAGATAGAGTTTATTAGAGAGGGGGATGAAAGAGTTAAATCAGGAGCATTCACATTTTGACCAGGAGGAGTCCTTCGAGTTGCAGATCCATCATTTAGAATGCACAAATTGTTATCATCTATCAGGTTAAGGAAGAAAGAAGAGGAAGAATCTGAATGGTTTGAGCCCCACATAGGGTGGTGACAGTTAAAGTCGCCAGAAACTATGAGGGGACCAGAAATAGGAGAGAGAATGAAGTTTAGTTCAGAAATCACGGAACTATAGGGATGAGGGATGTAGCATGATATGAATGTAATATTTTTAGCTTTAATCGCCACTATGTGCAAATTACAGCTATGGGGAGGGATAAGGATCTGGGAGAAGCAGATTGATCTTGAAGATAACACAAGAAGGGCACAACCTGCTTTTCCGTCATCTCTGTCATCGCGAAAACATGAATACCCCGACAGCCTGAAAACAGACCCCGGTTGTAACCATGTCTCCGAGATGGCGAGGACCACGGGTTTGAAGCGATTTATTAAATAAATGAGTTCTGATTTCTTATGGCGAGCACTTCTACAATTCCATTGAATTATAGTCGCCATTTTTAGAAATTAAAGTATCGAGAAATTGTTGTAGAATAGTAACGACATTGTTCGGTAGGGAGTCTGAGAACTTTGAAATCATATTTATAAGGGAGCAGATGAGAAGTTCAATTAGATTATCATTGGGGGTAAGCAAAGGCGTAGACTCTGAAGATGATAGAGCACAACCATTAGGTTGAGTAGATGGGGGAGAGCTAATTATATTTCTATGAGATAGAACTTCATATGATTTACCGAGAGGAGCTTTGGGACGAGGAGATTTGAAAATAGTTTTGGAATAAGATGCCTGAATATTAGATAGAATAGTTGAAGAAGAGGAAAGGGGGATAGGATGGGATTGTGGAATATTGGTAGGATGTAAAATGGAAGGAGGGGTGGAATTGACCACATCCGAGTAGGATCTTTTTGCGAGGGGAAATCGAAGAGCTGCTTCAGAATAGCTAATATTTTCCTGAGACATGATCATTTTAATAGACTTTTGCCTTGCATGTTCCGGGCATTTGTCATCAGTAGCTCTATGATTACCACTACACAAAACACAAACTTCATTATTCGAATCATGACAGCTATCCCCATTATGTCCCTGTCCGCAACGGTAACATCTGGGCTGAGATCGGCCCTCTGATAAAATGTGGCCAAATCTACAACAATTCCTACATTGAATTGTTGGCAGTTGATAAGTGGAGACTGGAAGAGCAGAGTGGAAACAAAATACTCTCTCTGGAAGAGATTGGCCCGAAAAGGTGAGAACTACGGTAGTTGAAGGGACCCATGTGACTTTATCATCTACTCGGATTTTAGTATTGAGACGACGAGCTCTAATAACTTCCTCACAATTGGAGGGAGTTTTAATATTTTCAATTAACTCTTCTTATGTCCAATCAGTGGTAATGCTTCTAACAACACCCATGCGGGTAATGTTAAATCTAGGGATAACTGCTTTAAAATTATTTGCAGACAGACAGTCATGAGACATGAAGTTATTAGCTGACAAATTAGTTTTAAATTCAACTGATATTCTATTTCTTCCCAATGTTTTTATACCACCCTGCGCAATACCAGAAACTTTTGATTTGTGTAAAAGTTGAGCAAATTTCAATACTCTAATAGACTGACCAGAGGATAAATCGGGAACAGATCTAGTTATATGAACGATAAAGGGACCCTTGTCCTGGTCAGTGTATAGTAGTATTGAGTCAAGTTCATAACCCTTTTTAGAAAAAGTAGATTGGTACGACGTAGAGGGCGGGACAGTTTTTTTCCTTTCCAGCATCTCAACGTTTTCAGCCGGGCGCTTGCGATGAACATTAGTTATTGAAGAGTTGGAATTAGAAACTGTAGATGTGGATGAGGACGAGCTATCCAACGAAATATCAGAAGGAAGACCGCCACCTCCATCCGGAGGCTTGTCTTCATCCATGTTCTTCATAAAGAAGAAAAGGCGGGTCTAAATGTTAATAGACTTGCCAATTCACACAAAAACCTCCACCAAACTATCACAAAACAGATAAATTCAGGATTTAAACACAAAAAAGTAGGATTCAGATATAAGATCACTCAATTACGTGTTTACATCAACACTTTGACAAGCAGAATCCTATCAACGTTATTATCAAAAGCTAGAAAAAGCCTCTTGTGGACTATCAAACTAAACATCAACTTTGGTACTTTTTATTAAAATTAGAGTGAAATTTTTTTTTTCATACTTAAATTAATCATTCAAGAGATATAGTATCCTATCTTTATGTTACCTAAATTATTTTAATAGTTCCTAATTAACCATACTACCAGTTCTTAATTAACCATACTATATGTCTTATCTATGCTATTATGACTTTATGACAGTGACACTTTGACAGCTTCATATTGTCTAACCTATGCCATTTGATAAGAATTTTATAGGAACAACACGAAGTAAATTACTATAGTAAAAACAATTTGCACCGTTTACAAATATGAAGAATGGATGAGCTAGCAAAGCACTCCGCCTCGTATCAGCTCGATCAAGAAATATTGGACGGTGAGTGGAAAAACAGTCAGTTTAGTGTCTGAAATTCGAGCCTTGTTCTTGGAAGCAGTGCAACAGGTATTGGAAATATGACGCAAATTTGCATCCTGTTTTTTTTATCTTTTTTATTATTATTTCTTAAAAAAGAGGGATAATTTACTAATGTGACAGTTTTAAATGTTCGAACGTCTCATATTTCTTTAGTGATGTAACTGTATTCAAGGAGAAATAAAAAGCTGTAACGATAAAAAAAAATATATATTTTTTTTTAATTCTAAAGAGATATATAAAAGTACAAATTAATGTAGATCAGCGGATTTATGTTTTTTTTTTATTTCAATTGCGTTTTTATATCTATGCAATTTATTCTTAGGTGTGATTCAAATTTCGTTTATCCTTTTAATTTTGCTATTATGTTTCGAATGGTGACACTTGTTTCTTCAGAATTATATATTTTTATAGTTTTTTGTATGTTGAAAACCTGATCTTACCATTTCATAAAGATTGTTGAATTACTACATGTTTCTCTATAAATTAAAAATAGTTTCAAGTGAATAATAAATAAATAATTGCCTCTCGTTATATTGCATTTTAGCCATATAAAACAACTTTTAAACGGCATTGTTCTAGGTAATGTAAACAGAAATACAGTAATACCCACAATAACGCGGTACCCTTATAACGCGTTTGCATATTACGTGATTTCAATCCCCCAGTATAACATGGGCATTACCCCATATAATGTGGGGATTTCCCACATTCATATTTCTGTAGTGTAAAGTTTATAATGATTTGTAAAGTCCATAATTTTTCTTAGTATTTGATTCCCTGCAACGAGAAAAGTTAAATGTGATGAATCATTCATAGTTAATGCGTTATATGAGACCTATAACACATTTTCCTATAACGCAGAACCAATCTACCGCATTATAGGGGGGTTTTCTACATCTATATTTCTTATCTGATACTGTTTAGTTCAAGCTATTAATTAACTCCTAAATTGTTACAACAACTAATAAGCTATTTAAATGAAACGGTCAGTGTAAGAAGGCAAAGTTTTAGTTTATTAATAAATACCTTATCCCTTAACCCTGTTGAATCTTCTCTACTCTTGGGAATTACAATAGATTCAAAACTCCAGAGGAATCCCCATCTCTCATCTCTCTAATTTAAATTCTATATGAATTCTACAAAAAAGACCTGTCCTAGCAATCTATAATGTCGGAGCTAGGAATAAACTGAGGAGATTTTTTTAAAGAGATAAACAAACTCACTGTTGCGTCTCAATACATTTATTGTAATATTTTATATATACGACATAATCATTATTATTTAAAGAATAGCGAGAGACATAAATTAAACACTGGAAATAAGGACATAACATTTTTTCGTAGAATCTGACACAATACCTTAACCTTTGTCCATAACTTTTTCCATAACTGTGTCGTTACAACCGCGACAATAGATGAACACACGTCTAACGCTACTTACCAATAATCATAAAAAAATATATACGTTAAAAAACCATAATTAAAAAAAATATTTTTCAAACAAACTAATTAAATAAAAAAGAAACAAAATTTGTAACATCCTGTATAACTACAACTGACTGATTCATACATTTAGAGACTTTTTCATTCGGTGCCACAGCGTCGCATGACAAATCTCTCCTTCTAACAGTATCTTTTATCTCTTTTAAATTCATTTAACCCATTCAAATGTTTTGTCATCTTTACAAATAAACTTTACGTTACAGTTTTATACGTAAGGGTATTCTAAAATTGTTTGTTTTAGAAAATTTAATAACTCAGTAAATATTGATGTTTAAAGAATGTAAATGTTTAATACAATTTTAAAAAGTTATCCTCTATATGTGTGTTCATTTACCGTCGCGGTTGTAACGACACGCTGTATATGGCCCGCCGCCCATGGACGATTTGCAACGCCCGTAGGATTGCAGATGCGTTGACACATTTAAGTAAAGGGCCCCGTCCACCTCACTCACCAGACGAAGCGCAGAAGTGTAACACTTCTACTTTACGCCGGTCTTCTGCGAGGTCGACCTGCCCATTCGTGCAACAGTGACCACTTTTGCGTGATATTGGCACCACAATCCATTATTTGCTAATTGTGTGAATTATTCAATTCGCTTTAAATTTGTCAGCACTTAAAATTAACAATTTCGTTGTTACGGGATTGAACTCGGGTTATTAGAGTATAATTAAGTAATTACAAGCGCCTTACACTGAGCTATCACGGCTCCACAAAGAACTAGTTAATTCTTGGATATTCCAAGTAACATTTTTAATATGTAAATACAAAAATATTGGAATTCAAAATTTGTAGAAAACAGTACGATATGTTTGTCGCCGCCGTGGGAATCGAACCCACAGCTTCGGGTGTCGCGCCGTGATGCTTAAGTCACTAAACCAAACGGCCGATTGCCGATTCCCACGGCGACAACCTTTTCGTACTTCTTTCTCTTTTAATGTTTAATCTTGTGTGCAGAGATTAGCACTATACAAATTTAAATATGACGAATCGGGCTTGTGTACCCGATGGTGTTTGGTTTCTTTGTGTACCGGATGGTGGATGGTGATGGTTGGATTCTCGACAATGAGGAATCGAGCTTGTGTACCCGATGGTGTTTGGTTTCTTTGTGTACCGGATGGTGGATGGTGATGGTTGGATTCTCGGGAATAACTAATCTATCCCACAGCGCGGGGAATCGACATGAAGGTGGACGAAGTGGCCGGTCTGCCTACTTGCAAGTACTCAGAGAGGGTGCAAGCCCTGCACTTGGGCGAGGACGATCTGGCGTTCCTCAAAGGGTTGCGGCGGAGGATCAAGAATAGGGTGAGTCCCTGCACAATAAGACTGATATGCACAACCGCTACTAGGGTTGCCAACCATCCATGCTAATATTATAAATGCGAAAGTAATTCTGTCTGGCCGTCTGTCTCGCTTTCACGCCAAAACTACTGAACCGATTTAAATGAAATTTAGTACACAGATAGTCTAGACCCTGAGAAAGGACATAGGCTATTTTTTAATTGTTTTTTTTTTTAAAGAAAGATAATTATTTAAGTGCTTCAACGCAAGCGAAGCCGCGGGCGAAAAGCTAGTAGTTTATAATAACGTATTACTTAATTTTTGGTAAATATACTTTATACATTTTACTTTACTTTATCAGCCATTAGTGTCCGACTGTTGGGCAAAGGCCTCCTTCCATTTCTGCCACTTCTTCCTGCCGTGGGCTATATCGGAGCAATTCCTCACAAATGCGTCCAGTTCGTCGCGCCATCTCCGCCTGGGCCTGCCGTGTGCCAGTCTTACATTTTGTGGGACCCATTAGGTAGTAGCTTTGGCCCAAAAGGTGTTAGGCATGCGGCGGACATGGCCAGCCCAGTCAAATTTAAGCTGGGCTTTTTGGCCCGCATCGAAAAATCGCAGCGCAATCGGGAGCGCAGTGTTTCCTCTCTCACGCGGTCTGTAAGCTTTAGACCCAGCATACTGCGCTCCATAGCCCGCTGGCAGACCGCGAGTCTGGATTTCTGCTACCTGGTCGAAGACCATGTTTGTGCACCATATGTAAAGATGGGGAGACAACCTATAGACAACCTATTCCTTCCCTAGAAAATTTTATTACTTCTTTTATTTAAATTGGGAATGCAAAGATAGCTTCGAAAAGTTTTAGCATAGTGAAAAACTGTGAGTGTGCTAGTTGCATACAAAAATATGGGTAAATCGTCACTGGAAGGGCAATATTACTTAAACACCAAACATTTATTTGGCGGTTAAGTACTATCAAAAGAACAAATAAATCAGATTTTGAAAAACACTGTTTTCCTTCCGAATACTTTATTTTTCTCTACTTGAAATATGTGACACTTTATTTTTCTCAAAAACAGTTGGCAACCCTAGTCGCGGTCCATTGGTGTTGTGACATCCGGTTCAAAGTTCTATTCTATTGAAATACGTCAAAGGAGCGCCCCGCCCCTCGCCCAAATTCCCCTCCCCCTCCCATTCGGACTCTCACCGCCCGGTGTCGTATAACCGCCTTGCGGTGAACCAGACGCAACATGATATGTCTGCGTGCATATCACGGTCTCCGGCTACCGTGCGAAGGCGAATCTCGGTCGTGGCTCGTGGCTGGCAACATATACAGCGTGTCGTTACCATCGCGACAATAAATGAACACACGTCTAACGCTACTTGCCAATAATCATAAAAAAATATTAACGTTAAACAAAATCCATAATTAAAAAAAATATATTTTTCAAACAAACTAATTAAGTAAAAAAGAAACCTAATTTGTATCATCCTATACAACTCGCGCCACAGCGTCGCATTACAAGCCTCTCCTTCTAACAGTATGTTTTGTCTCTTTTAAATTCATTCAACCCATTCACATGCTTTGTGACCTTTACAAATGAACTTTACGTTACAGTCTTATACGTAAGGGTGTTCTAAAATTGTTTGTTTTGGAAAATTTAATAACTCGGTAAATATTGATGTTTAAAGAATGTAAATGTTTAATACAATTTTAAAACGTTATCCTCTATATGTGTGTTCATTTACTGTCGCGGTGGTAAAGACACGCTGTATAAAAAAAATATTCGAGTCGAACCCACGTCTTCGGATTTCGCGTTTAATTATTTTAGCTAATTAAATTTAATTTCAGCTAAACGCCCTAATTTAGCTAAAAGCTAAACGCCAAACTGATGAAAATCTCTACGTATTTTATCTGTCTTAACATTGTCTTTTCGCATTTTCAGCAATGCTTGGCGCATCCATTATTATATCGTAAACAATTTCAAATATCGTTTTACAGCGATAATTCGACCGATAGATGTCGCCATTGCTATTTGAAATTTATTTTTTTATTGTGCTAATCTCTGCACTTGAGATGAAACATTAAAACATGTAGGAAAATGGAAGAAAATATTTACGACACGGCAGAAATCGAAGCCGCGTCTTATTGTCTTTAACCACTAAACTAACGCCCGGTTTCTGAAACACTGATCATCGTAGATGTCAACTAATCAGCTGTCAAATGAATTTCAAATTTCATTTGAGTTGCCAAAAGGTTGGTTAAACTCTCTGAATTGACCAGAATGATCTTCTTTATGCTCAGAATGATCAATTCAAAGAGTTTAAACATCCTTTTGGCAACTCAAATGAAATTTGAAATTCATTTGACAGCTGATTAGTTGACATCTACGATGATCAGTGTTACAGAAACCGGGCGTAAACGGCTAAATACCACGCCGACTATAATCTTCTTCGTTTTATCGCATTTTCACTAAACCATGGTCGTCACACAATTTTTTTCCGATACTGAAGATCGAGCCCTCGATCTCTGGTGCTAGAGGCATATCTATATCCACTACGTGGGTTGTTTATGGTAATACACACACCCAGATACGTCACAATGCAGAAACAACTGTCAGTGGGGTCACACATATAGTTGTCCCGTGTGGGAATAGAACCCACGTCCCCCGACGCCGAAGCCAATACCTTGGCGACTGCGCAACGGCGTCATATTTATTACGTTTATTCTTCGTCTACAATGCGGCTCAAACCCTGGACGTTTCGCACCAGCTGGCGTCGCAGAACAGCCGCCGTCGGAGCATGGAGCACCTGCGGAAGCTTGCCAGGGAGCTGAGGGCAGTGAGGCAGTGCAGGGACGATGCGCTGTCGGAGAGGAGGGGTCTACTCGCGCGGAGGGACGCGATAAGGGACCAGTGCGTGCGGCTGAGGCGCCATCTTGTTCAGGTAACGTAATACGAAAAGATTGTCGCCGCTGCAGGAGTTCGCGGCCTGACGCTTTAGCCACTAGGCTAAACGGCTGATCGCCACACCGACGAAAATCTTAACGTCTTCTATCTACTTTGTTTTTTTTTAGCATTTGAAGCAACAAGCTTTCGTACTTTTTCTACAAATTTTAATGTTTAATCTCAAGTGCAGAGATTAGCACTATAAAAAATATTAAATAACGTCAACTTGTTATTGTAAATGTAGAACGTATTACGCATTTTACTGTGATTAATATTTCGCTTATGCTAAATAATCATAAATTATCAATTCTTCTTGAAGAAGAAGTCTTCAGCGTGTGTTCGCCCACCGTTGGGCATACGCGTCTCCAATTTTATTCCATTTGGCACGACTCTTTGTTTACCTTGTCCAGACTGGGCCTGCTGTCTCCTTTATGTCATCGGACCATCGGGCTGGTTGTCTGCCCACACTTCTCCTGCCTAGCCGGGGTCTCCACGCCAGAACGCGCTTGCTCCAACGTTCCTCTTTTCTTCGGCACATGTGTCCGGCCCAAGCCCACTTTAACTTCGCTACTCGGTGGCCCACGTCGACCACTTTCGTGCGACGTCTGATGAGCTCGTTCCGGACTTGGTCCTGTAATGTTATGCCGAGCATGGCACGCTCCATGTTGTGCTGCGTCACCTTGAGCTTGTGGATCAACCCAGCACTCAGTGTCCATGTCTCGCATCCATATGTCATAGCCGGAAGTACGCATTGATTAAACATCCCAACATTATCCTTCCCCTCATCTCTGCCATCATCGAGTCCGATTATCGAAAATTATCAATTATAATATGTAATTCTTGTGCACATACATGTAACCGGAGAAAACCATTCTATTTGGAAGTCACATCCCTTATTCTCTTATCTTATTCACTTTTCATTTACTTCCCAATGATGAAAATTTTTTAGTTTGCCTACTGCTTACTTACTAAAAAATTCCCCTTCCTCAGATTTTGAGAGGGCGCTTCGACTCTACCACCGTACCGGAAGAAGAACTGGAAAACATGAGCACAACAGGACCAGCCATTGAACCGACCACAAGAAAGATCACAGAGACCGAGCCCGTCCTGATGGGCAAAACTAAAGCCAACCGCGTCAAAGGGTACCGCGCAATGGAGAGGAACGGAGGGGCTCTGGTCGAGGAGTTGGAGAAGGACATAAAGATATTCGAGTGCCGGATAGACAAGCTGGTGCAGCAGAGCGTGAACCACATGTACAAAGACAAGGAGAGACGGAGGATATGCGCGAAGACCATATTCATAACGGATAAGGGCGCTCTCAGCGACGGGGGCGACGATGCGATTTCAGAGGGCGGAGTTCTCAACCTCTCTGTAAGAGAGGGCAGGAGAAAGAGCCACGGGAGGAAGCAGTCCGCCCCGAGAAGGATCACTTATGTTTACAGCGACACAGACGGTGAGTCCTTTCATGTGGTACCTGCATACCACAACACAATCGTCTCCGCCTACCCCTCTGCGTTGCAGGCTTGGCAACAAAATGGTATAATAAAAAAGACTTTGTTAAACGCATTGTTTGAATCAACGAAGATTGCTGATAAGGGCTCATGTTTCAACAGGCAACAATTTTTTTTGTGTGGGGGCGTGGTAAGCGAAGTCGCAGTTCACCTGATGTTAAGTGATAACCGCCGTCAATGGATGATCTCAGGTTGCTCAATTAAAATGCTATTGAATTTTAATTCAGCGAGCGCCCAGACACTGAGCTATCAGATATTTTTATTAAAATCGGGTGATTTTAATAATAGCAACCCCGGTTAATAGTTAATAGCATTCTCTTAAATATGCCCATCACTAGTTATGTCATTAACACATGGGTAATATATTTGTATGTAGATTCCCTTTTCATAACTTTGTCAATGACTAACACCAATGCTTGATTTCTTTGCAGATGGCGTCCTAGATCTGAAAATAAAGAAGGAGCCTCAGTGACGTTAAAAGACACAAAAACTTAGAATAAGTTATTTACATGCGTATGTACAGACCAAAAAATTATTATATTTGTAAAGTTTAATCATTACGCGAGCGCGGTGTCCTGTTGTTGTCTGTTTTGCCTCAATTTTTATAATCTGTTATTGGGATAGTAGAATGGCGAATGTCGACATTTGTTATATATATTTTCTTCAACAGAGTAAAAAAATAATCAACAAATTCCTGTATACTATCTATGGCGAAATATAATGTTGCAAGGGTAGGTAGTTCAGCGTATTTTTAAATAGATAAGTAAATGTATGTATATCCGATTTTGAGGGATCATTGCAAATAATATTTTTTGAGAGGTTAGAGACTATGCGTATACTGACTGTACGTGATTTTTTGGCGGTTTTCTATTTCCTGAGCTTACCAATATATAAGTGATTTATTAATTTTTTATGTACCTTTGTAAAGTGCTTAAGATACTATTTTTATGTTAAAAAAAAAAAGAATCTGATTCGTATATAAGACTTCAAAACCTTTCGTTATTTAATCACATATAATTCTCTTATAAGAGATTAGAATTTTTATGGCGTCCATACTAAATATTCTAAGAAACTAAACGTATTTACAATTGAAATTAGTGGTATAAAAGAAACATTACGCTAAACTAAAATATTTATCATTTTTCTAATAAGTTTTAGAAAGAAATTGTGCCACTGTATTTTGAATATGGATCTGCTTTGTCCAAAAGCCTGTGATGGTTTTAAACTAGAAAGAGACGACATTAATTGTCACTAAAAACAAAAAATGCCAAATTCTAACCCACGTGGAAATATTTACTTCCACGTAAGTTAGAATGATTGTTGTTAATACAAAAATCACAAATATTTACACACTGAAGTGTATATTGCAAACATTTTATACTCAACATTTTTTATCATCGAAGGATGATAAAAGGTTTAAGTAGTTCTAAGAGATACAAAAAAAAGATAAACTGTTGACCAGCAATTATAAAACTATTTGAAGGTTATAATTTTTTTAAGTTTTTTTTTTTAATGATAATCTGAAATTGTATTATAGAAATATTTTTTATTTACAATACAATTACGACACATTACGTTAATATCACAAAGTAGAAATATTTGAAGAATTGTTTCAAAACTGCACTTGTTTGTTCAAATTTTTTTACAAAATAATTTATGAGTTTCCATGTCTTACACCAGCTAAAATGGAGTTTGAGTAGAGATTCAAACTAATATAAGTGTGACAACCAATTTGTAGTGATTTTCTGTTTTGTTCCAGCACAGTTGCTGTAATGGGCTGGATATTGTTTTATGTTATTAATGAAAATATTATGAATATGGCTTTAGTTTAAACTTTGTAACTGGTCAGAGGTAAAATCGTTAACGATATGAACAAGTCTGTCACAAAATTACATTAATTTTAATTAAAACTGTTGCCTTGTATTTCATCGCTGAATGGAAACAAAAACAAGATCAAGTGTATCTTATTTACATATAATCTAGTTTGTAAGTAAATAATTCTCCGAATCAAATGACCATATAATGTGATGTTGAGTTTTAATAAATAATTTTAGTTACATAATTCGTTTTTTTTACAAAACGTTTATACGCGCTACCATATTTTCTTTCCGTTTTTAGCTAAAGTAGATCGGTGCCAAAAGGTAGAACCAATTAAGCTAGTGATATAAAATGTTGTTTCAATACCTTTTTTTTCACTTGGGAAAAATCCTTTATGGATCCCCAGCTACCTTGTGGGTAGGCAGCAGGGGTATGTGGTTGTTACGTATGACTTCTATAATAGTTATGTAGGACTTCTCGGCCTTCCTCTCTGGGTGTTTGGACACCCGGTCCAGCTAAATGGTGCCGTATTGGTGCAATGAACACGGCACCCCCCTCGATCCGTACACGGGGCAGCAGTTAGTCCCACATCTGCCGCACCGGGGCTTGCCATCAGGGGGGAAGGTTGTACGAGTAGGCCAGTTGCAGTCCTGGTCTCCGGCAGGTTTCCCTTTCTCTCTCCGCGGCTTACTTCCGGGTGATTATGTCCTCGCAGAATGCAAGGACGGCATCCCTGGACCTCTCGCTGTCCACCATAGCGCGGACCACGGCGGGTAGAGAGATCGTGCCCCACGATAGCCCTCAGCTCTCGGAGCTGCTCACGCCAGGCGGTGCACTCCTCCAGTGCGTGTTGGCCCGTCTCCTCGGCACATACGTCGCAGTGGTGGCAAACCGCTGTTGGCTCCCTCCCCGCCAAACGGCACAGGTACCTTCCAAAACAGCCATGTCCCGAGAGAACCTGCTTCCGGTAGTAGAACCCGGTAGGTGAGGGTGCCGTGACGCTTGTCCAGCCACCGACTGAGTACCGAACATATGGCCTCGATGGCTCTTAGGCCAGCACTGGGGTGCTCCAGCCTCTGCTCCCACTCGGCGATAGCGAGTGAGCGCAACCTTAGTCTGCACCCATTCAACTCCTCTAAGGCCGGCGGTGTTTTAATACCTAGCTCAATTTACCGACAAAAAAGTATGGTGTTAAGAAATTAAATAATTAAGTAATTCACACTTTTGAGTTGTTGAGTGTGTATATTTCTATTAAAATAACTATTTACAATATTTAAAAATTAATGTTAATTTAATCATACATATTATCTTAATAAAAATAAACAAGGGGTTGTAATCTTTAATTTGAACTTTACATTAATACGCCTGTAGTTTTCTTACTTAGGATTTATTTTAAACCGTCTATTTTGAACAATTTTGTTGTCACTACAAACGGGATTTTACTAAAACTGTTTAATGTAGAGCGCAAAAAATTTATGATTTTTATTTTTTTCTATAATTTGTATTCTGCGCCCTCTATCGTTGGATAGTGCAAATGCATCATTATTTTAATTTTTAGCAATATTTCATGAACTTTCTTTTCCAGCAATGGAATTAAATTTAAATCAATGTTTTAATCACAGTTTGTTCCTTTTAAAAGGTATAAATGATTTTAGTACAGGTAAAGAAATTAATTTGTATTTTTTATGCAGCCAACATTAATCATAGACAGCGTCCCCTACCGAAATTTTTCGCAATCTATCCTTTTGTCTTCTTCAATCCAATATGGCGGTAAACGGCGTATGAACGGTGCAGAATGTTTTGATTTGAATCGTACCACAAAAAACCAATGAAACCTGAAAAAAAATATGCAATGGCCGGCGCGATTGATGTAGTGCTTTGCTGAGAATACGACATGTGTGATATAGCGCGCGCTTTGTGTCAACAATATTGGTAAATTGTGAATTACCTTGTTATATATGGGGTGATATTTGTTATATACCTATGGGATAATTTTTGCTAAATGTGGTCGTTAATGGTGTTGTGTGATAGTAGATTAAGCGCTAGATATGTCTGCCGATGATAAAGACACGACATATCCGACCACGAGTGAAGAAATATCTGATATTGTGAAAACCAAAAACAACAGTGAGGTCAGTGGTGAAACATGTGAGAAGAAGTCAAGCAAAACACCGAGGAAGGTCTCGTTTCCGAAGGAGGAGCAGTTAGTCACTAAGTACTTCGAGCCTGCAAACCCTTGGCAAGATGGTGAGTGTTCCACACTTGTAACAAACTTAAATATACGGTATGAATTTGTTTCATATTTAACAACATTTTTCTTATTGGAAATGGTCAAGGTTTAGGGTGTAATTTATCAGTGCTCATTGTCAGAGACAAGTCATTCCTGAATAAAATTCATTCTTAAATACCATTCTGTTATGAGCCTCATATGTGGGTACTAATAATATTATTCATGTTTTAAATGTAACTATTTTGCTACACGCATTTTAAAAATGAATATAATAATTTGGATATCTTGAAATTGACAATTTGTCACCATTTAAAAGATTAAAGTTAGTTTCCTATGCAGCCAATTTTATATAAAATAAAAAATGCAAAACTTAAAAATAATTTTGCATTTTTTATTTTATATTTTGTATTTTTTTATTTTATTTGTTTATTATTTTACTTATTACAATTCATATGCAAAATGCATAAAACTTTGACGATTTGATGTTATCCACAATTTATTTCTGCAAAGCGCATGTTTAGTTAGTTAAAATAATTAATCGTTTTCACATTAGGTAAATGAGTTTTAAGTGTTATTTACACTCAAACAAAGAGTTAGGCTCCATCTTCCTATACACTGTAAAAGCTAGTGATGGATACCAGGTTAATGCGGTCACACTACTGATGAAGATAGGTTCATCTGACAATCTTGAAACATTGTCAACAATTACTCTACATCTATGATGACTCTGTGGGGCAGTTGCCAAGGTATTGGATTGATTGTGTGAGACACAAGACAACTATTTGTGTGACTCACAGATAATTGTATCGGATGTCCGTGTTTGTCTATGTGAAATTTATGTATGTAAAATGTTCTCACAAGATAATGTTATCCTACTGTAATGGGTAATCTTTTTGAAGGAGAGACTACAATAGATCTTTGAGTTGCAGTGTTCATTGAGGTGGTCATACTCTACCTACCTTGAATAGGTACTAAGGCCTTTAATTTTGACTTTATTTAGTTCACACCTACTTTCCTACATTAGAATCTACAATTATTTGCTTGTGTAACATTTATCTATTTCTCTATTGTCATCTATCCAATCACCTCTTTGAGTTGATGTATAATATATTCAATGGATACACAGAATAAATAGATGAAATTAGTACTTGAATCATCTGCCAAAATTATGCCAGTAGTAGTAAGAAACAAACGATAAACAAAGCAATTAATGTATGAGATATTACATTTAATTTGTAATTTCATATTAGAGCTATATGTTGAAAATTCATTTTTGATTTTCATTAATTTAATCCTTTGCCTACTTCAAATAATGTTGCCCTGATAATTTTTTGGTACAGAAATGAGGAAGTATCAAAATATTGTGATATTTTTTTTTAAATCTTGTTAATCTTTTTCTCTTAACCATTATTGACAATTAAATGTGTAGAGGCAAACTTACTTACGAACTTATGTATAAATTTTTATGTAAAATTTGATGTTTCATAAGAACATGCAAGGTTCTATCTGAATAAAGAAATTTTGAATTTTTGGCAATAGAATGAAGACTACATAATCAACATGTTGATAACAGTAAACCACTGAATACTTTATGCTTTACAACTTTTTTCTCATGTTGGATAGTATACAGTTTTTATATTAACTTTAAATGATAATGCAACACAAAAGGCATTGTGAATCTTTTGAAATTACATCATACATTATGTCCATACAAGTTAGAACAAGGTCAGGATTTTGTCTGAAATTTGTTTAGTATGTGGTTTTCAAGATATTTTTAAACCTTGAAATACTTTCATTGCATTCCCTAAATAACTATTCCATATTCAAAAGGTTGTCTAAATGTTTATATTACTCTAGCTGTAATGGCTTAGTGACTGTATGTCCTTCACATGTCTTTCACCTTGCGATTGTATGTCCCTGGTGCGAATTCCATGGCCTTATACTAATCTACTTTGAGTATCTGCCTTCATGTTTATGTTCACAATTTGCGGAACAAAAATTAGATTATATACATGTATTTATATAATATGTAGATTATAATTTCCATATGTTATGTTTGTATAATTTCCTTCACTTTTGAATTAAACTGGTGTCACACAGAGTATTTGTCAATGAAAGTTATAAGCATGTACAAGGAGGTAATACATTAATAAGCTGTAAATTTGCATGCTTTTAACAGCAACCGTTTATAACCAAAATACCTACCTAATATTTTTTTAAATAAATTTAATCGGAATGTTAAATCGAATTAAAAAATATTATAACAGCAAAAAAAATTATTTCAGTCAAGAAAATAAATGACATCAAGTATTTCAGTTTGTATGCAATGTTATTCACATATTGCACCACGTTTTATATAAGGTTAATCTTTTTTTAGGGCATATTTATGCATTGAACGCATGCCCAGTTACAAGAAACGGGCATTAAACTATGGCCTCATTCCTTGCCAGCTGTCAGTAGGCTGATTCATTACACTTTCTTGTTATCTTAAATATATGCGAACATATATTACATTCCAACAGTTCAAGAAATCCTTAAAATAACAAAAGAGAGTGAGTGTTATATTTATCACTATGCTGTGATTGAAAAAGTATTTTAATGTAACACAACAAGTTACACTTATCCTCAGTAAGGAGAAGACCTTTGCCCACCAGTGGGACATAGCTGTACATTCCTCTGAATAACTTTTAGTTGTAATTTATTAAAATAATCAGTCAAAATATTCCCCTTACACTTTAATAGCCTTATTAAGCTAGGATGCAGCATTTTTTCTTAAAAAAAATTATGTAGTCAGTCGTAAAAAGTCTAGATTGGGTTGGATAGGATGGTAGCGTTGCTAAATCATCTATGGTGATCTTAATTGGAGGATGTTGTTGTACTTTTCATGATGTATATTGCACTGTAACTGTATTAAAATGTTTTAGCTGATGAAATAATCAACAGTAGCAACAAGCCCATCTTGGCATTTAATACAATAGCTGGGTCTGTATATGTTTGGGTTTTTGTATTGTATTTAACAGCAGTTATCGATAATTAAATTATTTAATTTGCAAAGTTGAGTCGTAAGGAGTTATAATGTGTGTTAGGTAAATAATGGCTAATTAAAGTGTCAGTGTTTGTCGCCATCTTGTGTAGGAAAACCATATTATATACATACTGAAGAAAGAAAACCTTATTAGTTATTAGTTTATTAACGATAGTAGGGCCACGCAACAGTGTTGCATGAATGGGCAGGTCCGTCCGGGTTAGTACCACAATCTCACAGTAGACCGGCGTAAAGTAGAAGTGTTGCACTTCTGCGTTTCGTGGTGAGTGAGGTAGCGGGGCCCACATTATTAAGATGTGGCAATGCATCTGCAACCGTTCGAGTTTTGCAAATGCACATGGGTATGCGGTTATCACTTAACATCAGGTGAACCGCCAGCTCGTTAGGCACTTCCTCATTTAAAAAAAAGGTACAGTATTTTAGGAAACATTTTTACATATCATTCTCTAGTCCCAAACTAAGCAATGCTTGTACTATGGGTACTAGATTACTGATAAATATACTTAAAAATACTTTTCTTTTGTAAATAAATACATATTATACATAAATGCACCAGACACCCACACACTAGAACTCTATGTTCATCACACAATATTTTTCCAGCAGTTGGGATCGAACCCACACCCTCTGGTGCAGGAGGCAGGTATACTACCCACTACGCCATTCGGGTCGTCGTTTTAAATAATACTTGTATTTGTGTGGTAGGGTTTGGGTGGTAAGTCCCAACGGCCACTGCAACTTAGAAAGATCTATGGTATTCAGCTTTTCGAAAACATTGCCTCCTTACTATATGATAATATTATTCTGAGTTGTAAGGACTTTTTAAGTTTAAAGTTGTCTCGCGTAGGAATCGAACCTACATTCTCAGGCACTGAAGCCAATACCTAAACAATAGCGCGAGGGAGTCGTCAATTTGCAAGTAGGATACTTATTTTGTTACGTATGTCTCTATGGTACAGGATATGCTTAGCTGCTGACCTAATTTACCGGAATAGAGCTTACAAAATATTTTTTGTTTGTTTGTGTTATTTTTCATTTGTTTTATATTTTAATCATGTATTTATGTTGTTTTGTTTTACTGTACGTAGGTACTATTTATAAGTATCTATTTTTATATTTCTTTTATTTTTTGTTTTTTTTTTCTCTTTTTTTTTTTGGTAAATAAGTGTATTTTCTTTCTTTCTATGACGCAGTTGCTAATCTATTGTCATAGGCGCCGGGGCTCGATTCGCACACAGGTCAAGTATTTGTGTGACCCACAGATAATTGTTCTGCATCTGTGTGCCTGTTCCTAGGGAGTATCGAGGTCAGGGTTGTCGTAAAAACCTAGTCGAAACCGTAGACATGTTTTACATTCTGTTCCAACCCCCCAGCATGTGGGTTATAGGGTGATGATGTAATGCCCCAACAGAGGTCATCGTCTCGGTATTTATAACGCTTATAGTTTGTTCGTATTTCGATTATACGTAAGACGCATCCACCGTAGTTTCTGGGCTACAGTAGCGTTGGTTATTACATAGGCGGTGTTTGAATTCAATTATACAGCGTGTCTTTACCATCGCGACAATAAGTGAACACGCATATAGAGGATAAGTTTTTAAAATTTTATTAAAGATTTACATTCTTTAAACATCAATATTTGACGAGTTATCAAATTTTCCAAAACAAAGAATTTTAGAACACCCCCTTACGTTTAAAACTTTAATGTAAAGTTCATTTGTAAAGGTCACAAAGCATATGAATGGGTTGAATGAATTTAAAGAGACAAAACATACTGTTAGAAGGAGAGGCTTGTAAGGCGACGCCGTGGCAACGAATGTAAAGTCTCCGAATGTATGAATCAGTCAGATGTAGTTGTATAGGATGTTACAAATTTTGTTTCTTTTTTACTTAATTAGTTTGATTGAAAAATATTTTTTTTAATTATGGATTTTTTTGAACGTTAATATTTTTTATGATTATTGGCAAGTA